GGAAACCGGTCTATCACCGGAGCGATTGACTCCACAAGTCCCTATCAGCTGGACGGGAACGACTCGTTTACCCCAGCTTGGGGTAACATAGTTCCGGGATCCACAGATAAGCCGATGCTGGTCGCGCGGACAGACGGTAGGAGGTAGATGTGTGCGGGAGGGACATGGTGTATATAAAGGTCGCGTGCGATGCCTTTGATCTCGCCTCAGCTCGAAGCTCAGTCGCATCTGCTCCGTATCGTTTTTGGTCTTCCCAGTAGGAGTATTTCAAGATGTCCAAGTTCGACGCTGCTCCTCCCAACACACATGCCGGCGGCGACGACGATGCGCTCCGTACAAAGGGCAACGACCCGCTCAACGCTCCTCCAACATACGATGTCGCCGACGAGAGAATCAACATGGAAGAGTATGCCAGGACGGTTCCAAAATGGAAAAGGATATGGCAGCACAGCTTGACGCAGATGCTGCTACTCAGTGTGCAGGCTTTCTGCGGTCCTGCAATGGCTGATGCTATTGCTGGTAAGCCTTCTTTGAACTCATAACACAGTACATCGTATTGATAAGTCTGCAGGTCTCGGCGGAGGTGGTCTCGCTACTCCGCAAACCTCGAACATCGCGACCGCTGTCAACTACACCATGCTTGCTGTCTGTTGTGCTCTCGGAGGGCCCATCGTCAACAAGCTCGGAACGAAATGGGCTTTGGTCATCGGCGCCTGCTCGTTCCCAATCCGCGGCTCTTCCTACTACTGCAACTCCAAGTTCGGAAACCAATGGTACTTGATCTTGGGCGGCTTCTTCACAGGAATTGGAACTGGCACTTGGTATGTTGCAGAATCCGGAACTATAATGTCACTCGCGCCGGCTGGATCTCGTGGCAAGTACCTGGCACTTTGGATCGTTGCCAGAAACTTAGGACAGCTTGTCGGCGGTGCTATCAAGTGAGTTTTGTAGACTGAAGCCCACTTCGCAGCAGCTAAAATTTGTGTCCCAGTCTGTCCAAGAACCACGAGAAGGGAGTCGTCGGCGGAGTCACGCCAGATACCTACGTCGCCTTTTTGATCATTGAATGTATGGCCTTGCCATTCGCCTTCCTCATCTCACCTCTTGAACGAGTTGTACGCTCAGACGGAACGCGTATCCTCGTCTCTGAAAAGATCGGCACCATTATGGAGTTCAAGCAGATTAAGATCACGATGACGTCGAAGCTTATCTTGCTTTCCGCATTTTGGGCCATATGGTCGTTCTTCTACAGGTCAGTCAACACACGATCATAAAGGGGCGGCAGCTAATCAGTTATTAGTGGGACATGGTCGACCTATCTTGGAACCTACTTTAGCGTCCGCGCCCGCGCTCTCTCCTCCCTCATCTCGCCCTTCTTCTGTATTGTCGGTTGTTTTGGTCTCGGATTCATCCTCGATCTCAAGGGTGTCAGCCAACGTCGTCGTGCACAAATCGGTCTCTTTACCGTCGTGCTTCTCAACCTTGGTGTCTACATCTGGTCAATCGTCATGCAAGTCGGATTCAACAGTAATGACCCAGGCAAGATCGACTGGGATGACTCGCTGTATGCGCGTTCTTTTTTGCCATACTTCTTTGTGCAGACGACTGGTCCTCTGTCGCAATCTTACATGTACTGGCTACTCTCTTCTTTCGCAACAGACGCTCAAGGTATGTCTCCTAATTCGGCAAGTCTTCTTGATTCATCGCTGATGATATACAGCAAACGTGCGTAATGGTGCAGCTTTCCGCTGTCTTGAGGCCATCGGACAAGCCATCTCCTACGGAATGAACACCCAAATCAAGACATCCCCTCTCATCGGCTTCTGCGTCACTTTTGGCTTGATGGCACTTGCGCTAGGTCCGATGCTGTTACTGGTGAACCAGACGCCAGATCGCATCCCCGCTGATGTGATTGCGGAAGAGCAGTACCGCGAAGAGAAGAAGATCGGTAATGTGAGCGTGGAGACCAAGGTCTAAGGCCTGTTTGATGAACGATTCCTCGATGAGATGGAATGGAATTCTCTATGCCCCTGTAGTATAAAGCCAATACAATGCCAGAGCCGGGTTCGACATTGCCACCTGACATGCACCAGCTGTGTGACATGGCAACTAAATATGCATAGTTGATTTCTGGCATATAGGATAGCAATACTCTGGGTGATGCTTTGCTGCAGATATGATTAGAAAACAATAATGTCGGAGTGTGTATACTATCTCGCCGCAGAGGCTGGAGATTAGTCTTTTTCCTCTGCGACAAATAACTAATCAGTCGCTAAGACATGACAAGCTTTTATCTAAAAACCTTCGCATAAATTGAGGCATGGATCGTGGCCACACATAGTGCGGCATGTGAAAGAGAGAAATGTATTGGTGAGCTGCGAGTCGCCCTTCGGATCGCCGTCACTAGAACTACCCACTGCATTGGCTAAAATTGCTTTCATATTGTTTTGATGGATTCAGTCTCTTCGTTAAATCCGCCTTACACCCAGACACGTTAGTGTATGAGTCGCGCGTCAAGGAGCTTGACTCCTAGGCCCATTGTTCACATTCGATATCCTAGCGGGGCGGCATGACCTTCGCAACTAAATCCAATTGAATACAAGCTTCAGGCCGGCACTTAAGGTTGTATGCTAAGACGCGTGTTGCTGATGAGCTAAGCACTAGCCGAATGGGGAAAGACATGGAGCTTTGTTGGCAACGGGCCGATCGATGAAGTATGCGATTGTTTGGACGTGTATCAGATAGTTGACCGAGCCAGACTGGCGGCTTCCTTACGTGCGTACAGCGGGAGAATTCATGTATACCTGGCCGACACGATTAAAAAACAAGTGTACATAAAGACAGTATCGGGCGAGCAATAGAGGACAACTTTCATTGGCTATCACAGCAGCCTTGCTACGTCCCTTTGTTTGTCAAGCCCTCAGTTTCACATTCCAAGATGACTATCACAGCAGAGAACAAGTTAGAGTACCCCCAGGGTCAACTCTTCGTGCACGCCATCGAGGAGAAAGCGCAATGGATACCGAACAACATGTACATGCGTTACGCGCCGGATGACTGGTTACACAGGGGTTACAAAACGATTACATGGAAGCAATACGCAAGTGCCATCGATAAGATGGCTTTCTGGTTTGACGAGCGGCTTGGTAAAGCAGTGGATTGCGAGACGGTTGCTTATTTCGGGCCCAACGATCCACGGTATGCCATCTTGATACCATCTGTTGTAAAGCATGGACGGAAAGTAAGTGTCAAGTCGTTCGGTGTGACCTCACGGCTAACAGCCTCCGTATTTGCTAATTCCCGATGGACGGGTGACCAAAGAGGGGCTTGCGGGCTTGATTGCAGCAAGTAGTTGCAAAGTATGGCTCTATCCAGAAGACGATGCCGCAGGGCCGTTGGTCGACATAGAGTCAGGCTTGAAGCTATGTGCTTTGCCGTCGCTTGAATGGATGCTTGACAATGAAGGGCAAAAACGGTATCCATATGACAAAACGTTTGGAGAGGCCAAATGGGATGAAATCGTCATCATCCATACATCAGGCACTACTGGTAATCTGTCTGAAACGATCTGTTATCTCACAAGCTCACTTCTCTTTAGGCGAACCCAAGCCTATTTTTCACACAAATGGCATGTGGAGCGGATTAGGGAATATGCCCATACTGAGTCGAAGACACTGGCCCCGCGGCATTGAGTACGAAAGCTGGATCGGGAAGACGTCTCTCAATCCATGTCCACCGCAATGGATAGCCGGCTTACATGCGATGGTTTTGAGCCCGCTTTTCCTGGACAGTCCCTGCGTCATGATGCCCCGGGACGAAGTTTCCCTGACTCCCAACCTGTTCAAGAAGATCATTTTGATGAACAGAATTGAAGGCATTAGATGCCCCCCATTCACTATTAACAGCCTCTACGCGGACCCAGAAACTCGACAAATGCTGAAGTCACTGGACTTCATTGTGTATACTGGTGCACCCTTGGATCGAGCGATTGGAGACGACCTTTGTCAGCATACAAGATTGAGCCCGATGATTGGCTCCACGGAAAATGGAGATCAGATTGGCCTTCGACCAGTCGATAGAAAGCTCTGGTATACCCATGACTTTGTTCCAGAAAATGGTCATAGGATGGTGCCTTTGGACGCAGGCTCGGACGATCTCCACGAACTCATATTGGAGCAGGTTGGAGATGGGCGTACTAATCCTTTTCAAACAAGCTTCTGGAACACAGCACATCGTTTCCTGGAGCGGATCGAAACGAAGGAGCTCTACAGGCCCATCAAGGACTCCGATGGCCGCACGCGGTGGGCGTTTTCTGCCCGCAAAGACGACTTGACGAAGCTGAGTTGGCTGGCAAAGTTCCATGCGCAGGATATTGAAAGACGTATTCTGCAACACCCAGACGTACAGAATGTGCTGGTAGGTGGGGAAGCCCGGCCTGCGCCGTATGTTATCGTTCAGGCAAAGGAAGGTGTGCTGGACGGAAAGAGCGAGGTGCAGCTACTTGATGAGCTTTATGATGGCGTGGTTGCTGCCACCAATAAGGCTGATCTGAATGAGATCAGAATTCCTAGGGAAACGGTTATGATTGCGAAGAAAGAGAAGCCGCTCAAGGTCAGCTTGAAGCAGTTGGTCCAGAGGAAGGCTGTTGAGCAGGACTATTCGGAGGAAATTGAGCAAGCATATGTGCGGCTGGAGAACAGCAGGAAGCCTTAGGCCAATCAAATGATACTTGACCTCTCCAGCAGTCGATGCTTCTTCGTGACATGTTGTTTGGTGTGGTGTCTTGAGTCGAGTCAGCCGAACCTAGATGCCTAGGAAGGCGCGTCTGGCAAAACGCGCTAACGGCATGAACCTCGGCATGGTCAGTGATGATGTCGGCCGTTGCGGTTGAGTTACTCCGCATTTCACGAAGGAGCGCCCATAAACCTTGAGGTGTCTTCTCAGCTAGAAGATTAAAATCCCTGGTTTATTTTCCAAGTGAACGCAATATTTTGAGTATAATGTCTTCCTCCAAGCGCATCGATCAGATTGCAGGCCATCTCAACTACCCCAAGGGTATGTTGGCTGGCCAAACCGCCATTATCACTGGTTCAGGTCAGGGAATCGGCGCCGAGGCTGCGAAGCTGTTTGCGAAGGAAGGAGCGAAGGTCGTAGTTGCCGATGTAGATGCCAGTAAGTCAATGCAGTCGCTGCATGCAAACACGGGCTGATGATAGTGTAGAGAAGGCAGAATCGGTAGCTGCGGAGATCAACGAGTCTGGTGGCAGCGCCCTGGCTGTCGCAGGCGATGTGCTCGACGACGCCTACATCAAGACGCTTATTGCAAAGGCTGCTGAGTTCGGAGGCGGCAAGATCCACATCATCGTGAACAATGCCGGCTACACATGGGATGGCGTCATACACAAGATGACGGACAAGCAATGGCACACGATTGTCGACCTGCACGCGACAGCGCCTTTCAAGATTGTGAGGGCTGCGGCGCCATACTTCAGAGTCAAGGACGGCGAGCCGAGGAATATCATCAACATTTCCAGCACAAGTGGTGTGAACGGCAATGCTGGACAAATCAACTACGCGCTGGCGAAGGCGGGTGTAACCGGCATGACCAAGACCATTGCGAAAGAGTACGTCTCCCCCCTCTCCCTCGAATGTATTTCCCTCTAACGTATCTTCAGATGGGGCCCTCAATTCGGCGTGCGCTCCAACACAGTAGCCTTTGGACACATCCAGACACGGTTGACGGCGGCGAAGGAGGCTGGCGCATTCATTACCACGCCCGACGGCGAGAAGGTAGCGCTGGGGATACCGCAGGCGCAAAAGGCAGGCGCAGGGCAGGGCCAGGAGCACATGGACATTCCCTTGAGGAGACCAGGCACGGCGACCGAGGCCGCGAGTGCCGTGTTGGCGGTTGCGAGTCCGCTGTTCAGCTATGTAAACGGAGAGACGATCAAAGTGACCGGAGGGCGCGGCATGTAGAAAAGTGTATGCCTCGTGCGACAATTGACAAACTTCCTTGCAAGCTCAAACACATGCCGTGGTGATGGAGTCGCAAAGATGGTCAGCTATGGTTTCAACTACCAAGATCTTGGACAGGGTCTCGGCACCCATGTTCCGCTCCGCCATCCCCAGATGCTGGATGCACATCAGCCACCTGCATCCGACAAGACGCAGCCCCTCGTCCGCCTTCTTCTTGCCTGTATTGATATAGTTGTCGTCGTTCCTTATACCCGTCCACCATGTACATGCCCAATCGATAGCCCATCCACCCAATTACCATTCAAAGCATACGCGTACGCAGCATTCGCTTCCTGCGGACTATTCGCCGCGGGCGAGCGAGCATCCCTTACCACGACACCGCGCACCACGTGGACGACGACACCCTCACGTGGTTTTAGCTCGCCATGAGCGACGAGAAACATGGCTACGTCCGCGAGCCATCTCCGCCACCCATCCCCACATACGACGAGGCAACTTCCTCGCGCAACGCCCCTGCGCGCCTCGGACCCAACGAGACCAGCGACGATGCCGAGCGGCAAGGCCTCCTGAGCCCGGATGTGCGCATACAAGCCGACCCGCGCAGGCGCAATGGATACTACCAGGCCCCCTCGGTACAGTCGGTCGACGACGATGGCGACTCGGATCTCGGGAGTCCGGTGCGAGAGAGCCAGGACGAGGACCTGCGCCAGACCATGGAGGAGATGGACATTCTAGATCCAGAGTCTGCTGAGGAGGGGCGCTCGAGGCGGAATCGATCAAGAGGCAGGTTCTCGAAACGCTTCTACAGCATCAGACATTCCCTATCGAGTTGGAATATGCCGCGAATACCCTGGCCCAGCTGGCGTCCCAACTTCAGCGCCATGACGGACCACATACCGACGATACCAGAAGAATACAAGCCGGGATGGTCGATTATCGCGCGATTGTTCGGTCTCATACTGATCATCGTCCTGGTATACCTGCTGGTCGTCAGCGAGGTGGTGCCCATGGGCGGAGGATTCGGCACGCCATTCAACCCCGAGTGGGTGCGTTCGACGGCTATGGAGAGCGTCGAGAGCTGGCGGATTGAGAAGAATCTGGAATACATTACAAGCTACGACCACATCGGGGGCACCGAGGGGAGTTATGTGCTGGGGCAGTGGATCGAGGGCAAGTTCAAGGATGCGCACATGGACACATATACCCACGACGAGTACGTTACACATTGTGAGACGTCACAAAGGATCACGCTAACTAGTGCAGGTACTACGTATACATGAACTACGCGAAGAAGGGCGGACGGAGGGTCGCCATCGTCGAGCCACAGGATAAGAAGTGGGAGGCCAAACTCGAAGAGCCGTCCGTCTTCAATCCTGCCAAAGCGCAAACGCCCGCCTATCATGGCCTATCTGCGACGGGAAACGCCACCGGGCCTTTGATATACGTCAACTACTGCGACAAGAAAGACTTCAAGCGATTATGGGATAGCGGGGTGGACGTACAAGGTGCGATTGCGCTCTGCCGATATTACGGAACACAGCCAGATCTATCAATGAAGATCAGGGCTGCGCAAGATGCTGGGGTTGTGGGTGTCTTGGTATATTCAGATCCAGCAGATGACGGCTTCAAGAAGGGGAACCCCTGGCCAGATGGCAAGTGGCGGCCTGGAGACAGTGTGCAGCGAGGATCCGTCGCACAGACAAACATGATTATGGGAGATGTGCTCACGCCTGGACTGCCGAGCTTCAAGAAGGTGGAGCGCATGCCCCGAGACAAGAACCCGGCCTTGCCAAAAATCCCAAGTCTACCGCTCTCGTGGAAGGATGCGCAGAAGCTGCTCAAGTCGCTCAAAGGCTCAGGCGAGCAATTGCCAGATGAATGGATTGGTGGTGTACCGGAAGTTGGCGAGCACTGGTATTCTGGTCATCCAAAGACTTCGCCAAAGGTGTTTCTGCAAAACGACCAGGATGAGGTCGAACAACAGCGGATCACTAACGTTTTCGGGTCTCTCAAGGGCAGCGAAGATCCGGCTAGCAAGATCATAATCGGCAACCACCGCGATTCCTGGTGTTTCGGTGCAGCAGACCCTGGCTCTGGCACGGCTGTCATGCTCGAAGTTGTACGTGTACTTGGAGAGTTGCGCTCTCAAGGATGGCGACCGCTCCGCACAATCGAATTTGCGTCCTGGGACGCTGGGGAATACAACAGAATCGGCTCTACCGAGCATGTTGAAGCCAACGTACAAGCCCTCCGAGATAGCGCCATCGCCTACCTGAATGTCGACGTCGGTGTAACGGGTGACAAGCTGTGGGCCAAAGGCTCTCCGATCTTCCAACACGCCTGGACGCGCGTGCTCGACCGACTTTCCGACCCCCGGGAGAATAAGACTATGAAGGAGCTGTGGGAGACCTCGGACTCCAAAATTGGTAATCTAGCTGCTGGAAGCGACTACGTTGCTTTCCAATCCATCGCTGGTACCTCCTCACTCGACTTCGGCTTCACCAGCAAAGAGGGTCAATCAAACCCCATTGCGCGCAGCTGCTACGAGACTCTCTCTTGGATGCGCAAATACATTGACCCCGGTTTCGCTTACCACGCCGTGCTCGCCCAGCTCTGGGTTCTTCTCATCCTCGAGCTTGCTCAAGAGCCCATCATTCCTATGAAGATTGATGACTACGCCCGCGCTCTGCAGGAAGAAGGCCAGCAGTTGTTGGACTGGACCGAGAAGAAGAGCGGTGGTGGCGAGTACGACATTGAGATGTTCCAACCTCTGGTCGACAGTCTGAGCATGTTCAAGAAGAAAGCAGAGACGTTCGGTCGGTGGGAACAAAGTTGGTATAACCAAGTCTATGCCACTGGCGGCTTCGAAAGTAGTGGTGTCACAATACAGAGGGTAGGCCACAATGGCAGGATCGCGGGTTTCGAAACAGACTTGCTTGATCTTGCGAGGGGAAAGGACGACAAGGGGCCGCATGGTGTAAGTTCCTCGCCTCACCGATATGTGAGATCATCATTGACTAATTCATGAACAGCTTCCCAACCGCGACCAATACAAACACGTCGTCTTCGCCCCGGACCTCAACAATGGCCTCGAAGCCAGTGTCTTCCCTTTTGCACGCGAAGCAATCGAGAAAAAAGACTGGGATACCGCATCCAAAGCCATCAAGAAGACGGCTGATATATTGAACCGCGCGAGCGACAGGCTCGGCTAAGATATGTGTGTATATGTACAGCAGAGTTGCATTTCCGCGGTGTTTGGGCGTAGCAGAAGACTGGCTGCATAACTTATTGGGTCAAGGATATATCTCATATTTAGTGCCGGGCCTCGGCTTTTTCATATGGGTGTCATATTTATCTCTGTTTGGTGAGCGTCTTGATGACCGCTAGCTAAGAGACTGTTTGTTGGGCCATCTTTTCACGTGCTTGTGCTAGCCCGACTCTGTCCACGTCTATATAAATCTATTATTTGTGCTCTTCTGCTTCAATTACCTTATTTCGCCATCTTCATGAACAAAAGGCATGCAGACCTTCACATGTCGGCGAAATATCCTGTTCTTTCCAAAATATATTCGTTTTCTGCATGATGGCTTCTCATCCACGCGCTCAATATTCCAAAAGGCGGCCTAGGCGTCGGTCAGTTCTTCTGTGCGCGCCTCACAAAAAGCCACATATCACGCATGCATGTCCCTCTTCCCTTGTTTCAGAAAGTCGAACATGAGTAGCTGTACGATCCTCTCAAAGATCTTCAATCCTACCAATGTATCAATCTGGGTCTCTCTGGCTTGTACTTGGGCGGCAATGAAATGTACAGTAAACTTGGCTCATGACGACCGACTGTCTCGTCGTTCTTGACAGTGTTCAAGCATCAAAAATCCATGCGACAAAGTGATGGATTTCGTGGACTGTCGTGTTCAAAGATCGGAAGCAAGTACTCATGTCCGCCCTGTCTCCGTCTCTTTCGTGGTGCAAAACGTCGAATTCCAGATACACTTCATCTGTTATCTCCCATCGCCTACCGTTGCTCAAAAGCGAATCAAAATACCTCCTCCGATTTATGGATGCCTCGGCATGTTCTCAGAAGACCGATGCAAATTTTGATGCAAATGTCAAAACACCTGGCTTTCGAATCTATGGTCTTTGTTGCCTGTCGCGGTCTTCGCAAGGTTTCATGATTCATGTCAAAGCTGGCAGCTATTTCCGAAGGACGATCTTGAACTATATCCGAAGAGGAATAGAGTGTGGTGTGAGTGATATATAAGTCGTCTGCCTGCTCGATACCCAACTTATACCATCATCCTCGTCGTCTATGGGTATCCAGAAACTGATGAGGTTCGCTGGATGTCTGCTTCCTCGGGAATCTTTTTTCTAAAAAGCCATAAGAGATAGCATGGCGCTTCTTCTCTCAAAGATGATGAGACTGACCTTATGGTTCTCCTGTTGTCCCGCAACCCTCCAAAAACTATCGTCATACCCGACATGTGTGCTTCGGAACCGGAAAAGTGTTCAAACATATGTATGACTCTTTGCGCGATACAAAACTTCAACACTTCTCACTTCATATCTCGAAGAAAGTCAAAACCTCTTTACCAACACGTCATGTGCGGTCTCTCAAAACATAAGCAGTTTAGATGAATGGTGGATCCTGCCGCTTCTTCGATTGAGGGAACACAGGCACTTTCTTTGAAGAGAGCCGTTCCTCATTTTTTTGCCTGGTGTGCTCTAATTGGGCTGACGAGCTTTACTAAAACGCGAGATACGCTGGCGTATGATCCAGAGGCTTGGGCTGTGTTATCCCTGTTCAAACGTCCAAAATCACAGTCGCATATCTAAGCGTCCTACAACTTTGAACAGGCTGGCTCATTCCCTAAATTGAACACCTTACTGAGCATGGAGCCGGACACATCTTTCCATAATATTCCCTAGGCGTGTCAATAACTTGAGATCAAAGGTCGCTACAATATTGAGTTGACAGTCGTGTGCCACTGGATTGTTAGATACGGACTCAAAACTTTTGCTTCAATTCGTGATTTGGGTCATGAGCTGCCAGAACAGGCCAAAACAAAAGACTCGTCTTCCCTCTTTGCTCACAACTTTCTCTGGGCTCAAGTTCTCGATCTGAGCGGAAGTAGCCCCTCCACGATTCAACAAGGTATGAAGAGGCGTCCGCAGGACTGATACACCTTCAATTTTGTCAATATCGCATTGAAAGAACTCTCCAAAAGAGTTAGAGCAGACAGTCATGTTGTTGCCCCTAGCTCGGCAATTAAAAATTTCGCTTCTACCAGGACATGTTCGCAGCTGGGCTTGGTTGTACTCAATAAAGAATGTCGGACCTGCAGTCATGGCCATCCTTAACTATTATTACCTGTCTCCATCTGGGGAGTAAGCAGAAGCTGGCGAGATTGCGGGGTAGAAAAAGCCTAGCCAGGTGGGAAAAGAAATGCGTGGCGGTCCTGAGCAATAACTGGCAAAAGACGGCTACATGTTTCCTGTCTCTTGCATGGCTTACACCGTACAGTGGCATCCTTCAAAAGAATCCCACGATTCTAGGCCTGGAGGAGGTATGCCCATCGCTTACATGCCGAGAAGCTGACTACAATGACGCTTCGTTAAATCGCAAGGCGCGGGTGCCAGCTCCGAGAACGATACCAACGATCGACGATCGAGTAGCATCCGAACGTTTGGCGGCGCATGTTGTGTGTCGCGTACTGGTGTGCGACAGCGGCTTCGCGATAGTATGTCAGTAGTATGAACCTCTGTCGGCGCAATCTCTTGCTGTGTGAAGCCGAAAGTCTGTCTCATGGGCTCGAGCTCGCTTTCCTGGCGAGGAAAGCAGCAACCTCAAAAGTACCGGGAGCCCGTAGATCTGGTAGCAGGGTCAACGTGCGAGTAATGATGGTGCAAATCTCCACGTTCTTCCACGTTGTGACTGTGTGAAGCGAAGCCCATGTCCCAGCTGAACACTGCCGCGGCTGCAACCGAAAAACGTGGAGTCAGGTAGGCGCTAACGACGCTAAGTGGCTGCTAGCTGTCACTCATCAATCCTTCAGCGGCATCTCGGCCGCGCCGACAAACTTCTCATAACAACATCGGCGCGTGGACAAAACAACGCACTGGTCAGTCCTGCTGTTCTGTCATCGCTTGCATATGAGTTCGAGTCCTTGTTCTACACATACCTGAGCGCTGCGCTGGCCAGCACGCCACCACAGGACGCCATGGAACTTCTAGATTGACCAAAAGAGCTTTTATAAAAGAAAACATGAAGGATCTCGCCAGGTACCGGTCTGAGGTGCCGCTAGCCGATGCGCTGCACAACACATCTCTCGCTTCGAGCGCAACTCATCCGGTGAAAATGAAAGCGCTCTGAATTCGATACAGCCATCAAGCCCAAAACACCTCATCGCGTTAGCGTTCAGCCCTAGCACCCCTGAGCAAATCAGCCCACGCAGCGAAGAGTGCCGCTTGGGATATTCGACTATTCTCACTCGCACGGAAGCTCATCCGCTGACTAGACAAAACACCAGGCCCATGATGCCAAGTCTCGTGGCTTGCGTTGCTGGCCTCGGGAAAGTTGTAGCGTTGCTGCATTTGTTCGATGAACAAGCCACCAGCTGAAGTTTCAGCACAATGTGGATTTTTGGAAGGCTAGAATGGCTCGACATGGGAAACTTTGCTCGCTTCTTTGCTTGGGGAAATAGATGACAAGGTGGTGTGATGGTTTGTATAAGGAGACTGATGCGCCGCGATGGTGTTGAGGTGTAACTGCATCCTCCAGGCGCTACAAATACGCTCACACTCGTTTTAGTCTATCGCAATTAGCTGAACGGCATAACACGTTGACGTACATCCATACAAACCTCTTCCAATCATTGTCACCGCCCTCTACAGCATCGGTCAACCACATCTCAGCCAACGCCAACCACCATCTTTCGATCGCAATGTCAGGACCGTCAGGTAAACTCGGCGGTCTTTCCACCAGTGTCGTCGCCATCATCGCTGTCGGTGGTGTAGCAGGCCTGCTAGCCCTCATTGTCGTTACGTCTCTCATCTTGGACATACCAAAGCGTATGAAGCAAAAGAAGAACACTGGCCTCATGGCACCAGAAGAGATGGAGAAGAAGAGTGTAGAGATTGACGACGCGGAAAAGGGTGCTATCAAGCAAGCGACAAGAGAGATATCAGTTCAATCCCCGAGCTTGTATTCAAGCACATATATTGCTCGGCCAGCGTCGCCAGAGTGTCAATGCGCCCACCCATCGATAGTCGTACATCCCTCGCCAGTCTATTCGAATACCACAACGTTAAGATGAGTTTATCGGCACTACATTTAATGTTCTACGACACCTTTCTGTGGATACTTTATCCATTCGCACACGTCTACACCGCCCGGGTGGGACCGGGTCAGAGGCCATTTTACATTCCAAGGTTACCTTCGGCGTTAAGACCTGGAATGTTCTTATAACCTTTCAAAAAAATTGTTCAGATGAGACGAGAGCGTCACGGCCGGAAGTTCGATACCCTGTTTGATGGATGTTCGGAGTTAACTGTTATCACCGTTGGGTAACGCAAGGCTGCGTGTCATGATACTACGTGAAAGCCCCATACACCATGGTCTAATCCTACTTGAGTACGATTATCGGACACTCTGTAGTATACAAAGCAGATTGTTCACTTATGTCACTGCGTTTCGGGACATCATTCGGCCGAATTGCATGTGTTACACAACACCTGCATGATCGCTTCCATGCAGCACGGTAGATTGCAACTGTCCACAATTGCTCGGCGTCAGCACTTACGATAGTAATGAAGAAACCAAAATCACTCATCAAGAAAGAAGACCATTATTGTTCGTCGAAACCTCTATGATCCGTTCAGACGTGCAATGTTGACACGCTGCGCAGTACGCACCTGTGCAGGCTAGTGCGAAAGGTCGTCGGTCTTTCCGTAGCGCGCATCTCACGACAATCTTATGATGGAGCGGGATTAGCACTGTGTTAACGCATAGCATCGTCAGCGCAAGAAGTCTTCGGTAATAAGCGCTAACCAGGCGAGGCCACCGTCATCCTCGACGTTGCCCAGTTGTGTATCTAGACCGGACGACTTTTCGCCCTATCAAGGCAGCAGTCATGGCCGCTCCGAAACATGCGGGTGCGACTACACGGTACTACCGCTTACTCACGCATGATAAGATGTGGAGATATACTCAGCAGGTATAAAGACTGAGTATTCTTTGCACATCAAAGTCAGCAATTGAACCAGAACGCACGAGCAACAACATTCTGAAGTCTTATCACAATCTTACTGCACTTCCAATACCTCCCATATCCACAACGTTGAAGCATCATCCAAGATGGCGGACTTCAAGCCGTACAGCGAGCAGCCCGAGCTCCACGCCAAAGCACCCTACCGTGCCGCTATGCTCACGCAACCTGCAAACCTCAAACAAGCCCTCAAAGACGCCCAGGCAGATGCGAGCAAGACCCTCATGGGCATCGCGCAAGGTATCCCAAGCACCTTCGTGACCAAGTTGATTGCCTCCACTAAGCCGGATTTCATCTGGATGGATGTTGAGCACGGCATGTACAACCGGTTGACGTTGCACGAGTAAGTTTTCTTCGATCCAATTGCGACAAGATTTTGAGAACTTGAATGTGTATAAGAAACCAAAGCTGACCTTCACGATAAAGTTGCATTCACGCCGCTCAGCATCATTCCGAGGGTAAATCAATGGTCATCTGCCGCGTACCCAAGCATGATGAGCTGAGTCTCACTACCGCCCTCGACGCAGGATGCGCCGGCATCGTCATCCCCCATGTGGAGAGTGCGCAAGAAGTCCGCGACTTCATTAAGGAAATGTACTTTGGCGGTATGTCCCCCATATCTTTACCATCACCACCTATTCTGACACAATATGTCTTTCCAGGCGGCAAAGGCCATCGTTCATTCAGCCCCTGGACATTCACACCAGGCTTGACGTCATCGCTCTACCCTAACGACCCCTACAACGTTCAAACCGCCAACAACCACGTCTGCCTCATCCCCCAGATCGAATCTCTGAAGGGCCTTGAGGCCTGCGAGGAAATTGCCGCCGTTGAAGGCATCTCTGGTCTCATGTTTGGTCCTGGCGACTACATGATTGACGCTGGCATGGACATCCATTCATTCATGAACGGAAATCCCGATCCGAAATTTTTCGAAGCCATGGGGACGTTCAATGCTGCGGCTGCCAAGTATGATCTGCCTATCTTTGGGTACGTATATCGCATGTTACTTCATGTTGGACCAGACGGCTGACGGGTGCTTTAGTGGTGTGATGGGACTGGATCAGATACCCATGGCTATCCAAACTGGTATGCGTGGTATCGCAGTGCAATTCGATGTCTGGGGCACTACACGGCTCTTTGCGAGTTCTTTGGAACAGGGCTGGAAACATGCCAAGAGCTTTGAGGGAAATCCGAAGCCGAGTATGGCGAACGGACAGGCGAAGCCGGCCGAGTAGCTAGAGGCTTACGACTGCTATCAGAAGAGAGGCATCTCATCTTTCCCCTATGACTTTCGCCCGCCAGCAGTATTCCGTGATGCACAAGGCTGTAGACATCAGGCTGCGGAGCTCAACCCCGATGAGTAATTCTTCCAACATCTTATCCGAGAGAGCACCCTCATTGGTGAGGCCTCGCTAGGTATTACTAGATCCGGTCCCTGGCTGTCCAAAGGCTGAGGTTTTATCGCTATTATGAGAACAGGCACCAATTATAGGAAGAAGTGTAGTAGTTGGCTGAAGTGAACGGCTGGTGTGGTGTGGGGGCCGTCCGAGAGAGAAATGGTTATCCTCTCGACTTGCGCCTTGCCAGTCTCTTCATCTCCTCGTCCGTTCTTATCGTGTGCATCGACGAGGCAACTTCAGACTCGTCGGTATTTTGTTTACTGCGCGCGTTCAGGCAAACGTGGCTCCAGATCCCTACATTGCAAAAATATGTCCCTCTTTCTCTCCGCGTTCATCACGACGCAAAGGTTCAGCTCGACTCTAGAGACCGTCCCGATCACTGTTGTCTTCCCTTCCTCATATTATGCTTCCTCTTCAACATCCATTGCAACAACAATCCCAGCTACACAATCTTCAGTGACACCTTCCTCATCCGCACTTCCACCACCAAACACAATGGCGCCAGCTTCAACCTCTCCCAACACAGGCTTATCGAGCGGGGCAATCGCCGGCATCAGCATCGGAGCCATACTTGGGGTTCTTCTCATCGCAGTCGCCGCCTTCCTACTTGGAAGACGCAGCTCTACTCATCGGTCATCCGCAAGCGACCTTGTTGTTACTGAACGCGATGTTCCGATAGGTGGATACAAGGCAGAATCGGACGGACAGGGAAGAGCAACAGTGGAGCGTGAAGGACGAGGCATTGCGCGGTGGTGGAGCAAGAAGTTCAGCAAGAGTGTGAAAACAAGGGCTTTGGACGAGGCTGAACCACGAGACTTCTCGGCTGAAGAGGCTAAAGGTGAAGGCCGTGTGCGACAGGTACGGGTGCGAGATGAGGATTTGCCAGAGTTCCGTGGGGTCTGAATGTCTTTTCTGAGAAGTTTGTTAACAGTATTGAATCAAGCACGTTTCCCAGTCGCTCCTCCATCGCTGTTGCCACTGTGCATGACCATCGGAACACGCGAGGTGAGCAGTGGTATATGGTAAGGATAGATCCGAGTTTACCGTAGTGCTGGGCGACAATCCTGAAAGCGATCGTTGCAGCGCACCCCAAAAGAGGATATAGATCTTCCTGTCAGGTTAGGCGTCCGATGTGACGAGGCTGAGCGTGCTCCGCATCTTGTGAGTCTGCCAATCAGCCTTACCGGTTGGCAGGGCGGTTCCTCGCGTGCATGCACTTTTCCTGAAGCGGCTAGCTCAGTGCTACTCCAACGAGAGAAGGATGGACATAGCCCTGAATTGCCATCACTGTGCTGTGATATAAGTAGAACGAGTAGATCGTCTCGCATACGTATTTAGTGCTTACTGCCTTGCCTTGACACAAGATCAATAAGTATACGTCAGAGCGGAACTGTAGATCAAGGGATTATACCCATCCCATCTTCATGTCCTTCCCAACTTCAGTATCGATTTCAGATTGCGAAAGAGACTCATCCGGAAGCTTAGTCTGTATGTCTAATCCAAGTAGCGAGTTCGGTCAGTATGCCTGCCTCCCTCACACATTTGAGTCTCTAATATGACGCCAGATGCCAACCGAAATGATGCGAAAGACACCTTCGGTGAGTCCGACCTCTGAGTTTGCAGCCGTTTAATTTGACTGACATCAAATCAGACAAAGCTGTCGACGCGCAACAGAGGATGATCGGCATTGGTGTGGGTGTCGGAGTAGGACTATTTCTTCTCTTCGCCGGCCTGGGTTTTTGGGCTTTCCGACGACACAGCAAGAAACGCTCGCGACAGATCAACCAGCAGGCGCAAATACAATCGGCTCTGATGCAACCGAGGATGCAACAGACGGATCCGACACAGTCCTGGATGAGGCAGGGCCAGGAAGTGGACGGCATGGCATACAGGAGTGAGGTCGAGGCCCAGGACAAGCAGCCTCAGTACCAGTCACAACACTACCAAGAGATGAACGCGAATCCGTATGGGAGCCAGTTCCAGGGTGGTCCAATGGTCGAAGCGCAGGGAACGCGGGATCCTCAGGAAATGGCGTTGAACCAGAGGCCGCCGCAGGAGATGCCGGGGAACGGGGCTTTTGGACAGCGCTGACCTAATTAACGTTATAATTGTATCGATTGACCGACATTGACATGTGATGCGACATATAACAACATGCTACATAGGTCGCAAAGTTCCAAGTTTTTGACGGTCAAGAGTTTGGATGAGTCCAGCCTGTCGCGTCTGCCAGGTTCGCGTCGCGGGAGCCATGGTCCGTGCATGACCAGCCATCACCCAACCACCACATTTCCAGCCCTCGAGAAATTGCGCAGCACGACAGCAGCTATGGATCTAATAAACGAATACCTACATCGTGGTTCCCACACTGTCCTCTGCCAGCGCATACCCACACTGAAGCCGTGCTCAACACGTGTACACGACTATCAACGGCGCAGTCAATAAACCATCCCAATCCTTTCGATACCATGCTTCTCAACGCTCAGACTATGGCTCTGGCCGCTTTTTTCTCGACACTGGCTACCGGACGGCCTTTGGACTCGTCGAAGCCCCGCGAGATTGTCCCACGCAACAAGAGCTATTCGGTTGTCAATGTTGGTGGAGACGCCTCGACCCCGGTCGCAACAGCCACTTCGGTGATCAAGACGACGAAGACAGTCGAAGTCGTCGGTCCGGCACACACTGTCACCCAAGAAGTCACTGCGACTGTCGTCCAGCCTCAGCCGGCGCCCGCGTCGACATCTAGCTGCAGCTCGAGCAGTGTGTTGAAGTCGTCGTCGTCATCGTCAACACCCACACCAGTCTCGTCTACTCCTACGCCAACACCTACATCAACATCATCGGTCAAAACTACATCAACTCCCGGCCCATCGGTTCCTTCGCCAACATCAACTGCAACACCGACGATCTCGAGCTTGTCTTCCAGCAGCATCTCAACGCCAGTCGAGACGCCGAAGCCAATCTTCGTCACGGTCACGCTCTCGCCAGACAACGGCCCCACGGAGTACTATGACGATGGCATGTGGCACACGCATTACCGCGTAAAGACGTTCGAGGCCGCTGCAGCTGTCACCGCGGCGCCATAGCTAGCTGCATGATGTCTGCGGTCCAGGCTTCTCTGGTGTTTTTGCTTTGGCGGTAGACTGGCTCAACCCGCCTGTTCCTTTCTCCCTGTGTTTTACGATATACGAATAATGGCCGGAAGCCAGCCTAGTACGGCGAGGAGTTATATTATGAAGATTAGACACGTCTGTGAGACGAATGCCCATGTACCAATAGATTAAATAATAGATGCATGCACAACCCCAAGTTTTGACGCGGCAGAGTGATAGTGGTGAAGGCTGTGATGACGCAGGTCGAAGGGGAGCTTGCATCCCTGCGTGCTTGGCGAACGGTTACACCCAAGGCGGCGGTGCGTATCCACGACGAGCTCTCCACACCCCCGGACGATCCGCCTCTCTCGCTCACAATGGCGTCGCCGCCCCCCGTAGAAGACCAGGCCCGGCTGCTCGAAGATGCCCTGGCCGTGGTGCGCCAGCAGACGATGCTCATGCGGCGCTGCCTCGAGACGCCGGGCAAGCTAATGGATGCGCTCAAGTGCAGGTACGCGCCGACAACTCTAAGCTCCGAGGGCCCCTCTGGTGATGTCTTGTCGTGCTAATGACCCCCATGATAGCTCGACTCTCGTGTCGGAACTGCGCACCAGCAGCCTCGGCCCCAAGCAGTACTACGAGCTGTACATGGCCGTCTTCGATGCCCTGCGCCATCTCTCCGTCTACCTGCGCGAGAACCACCCCGTCAACCACCTCGCCGACCTCTACGAACTCGTCCAGTATGCCGGCAACATCATCCCGCGCCTGTACCTCATGGTCACCGTCGGCACCGTCTACATGGCCATTGAGGATGCGCCCGTCAAGGAGATCATGAAGGACATGATGGAGATGAGTCGCGGCGTCCAGCACCCCATCCGCGGCCTCTTCCTGCGCTACTATCTGGCCGGCCAGGCTCGCGACTGCCTTCCGTCGGGCGACAGCGAGGGGCCCGAGGGTAATCTGCAGGACTCCATCAGCTTCATCCTGACCAACTTTGTCGAAATGAACAAGCTGTGGGTGCGCCTGCAGCACCAGGGCCATTCCAGGGAGCGCGAGCAGCGGACCAAGGAGCGCCAGGAACTGCAGCTCCTCGTGGGCAGCAACTTGGTCAGGCTCAGCCAGCTGGTCGACTTGGACAACTACAAGAAGATCCTCAACCCGCTGCTGGAACAGATTGTGCAATGTCGCGATGTCTTGGCCCAGGAATACCTCCTCGAGGGTATGTATCGGATTGCCGACCTCAGGATCTCACTAATACGCGGCAGTTGTCACCCAGGTCTTCCCGGACGAATTCCACCTGCACACGCTCGACCAGTTCCTCTCCGCCGTCGCACGCCTAAATCCACACGTAAATGTCAAAGCCATCGTAGTCGGCCTCATGGATCGATTGTCGTCGTACGCGCAGAGAGAAGCCGAGTCGGAAAGCCCAGAGCAGCGCAAGAAGACGGAAGAGGAGTCAATAGCACAACTCATGGAGCAAATGCGGATAGCAAAGGAAAAGAAGGCCGCCGAACCCGAATCAGCGCCAGCGCAGCAGAACGGAGACGCAGAGGAACCCTCAGAGACGCAGCCAAGCACCGAAGAAGACTCCGAAGAGGCATCGAAACCCGCAGAGACCTCCGCCGAGAACGATGAGACCCCAGCGACCGAGACAGACGGCGATATCGAGAAGAGACGCGGCATACCGAACAATGTCAAGCTGTTCGAGATCTTCCATGAGCAGGTGCAGACGCTGGTCAAGATGCAGCGGCTACCAATACAAGATACGATTGGGCTATTAGTTTCGCTAGCAAACCTTGCCTTGTACGTTCCAGCACACTTTCTGGTATGGCGACGATACTAATATTCACAGGAACATCTACCCCGAAAGACTCGACTACATCGACCAAGTCCTGACGTTTGCGAATCAAAAGGTCGCCGAATACGCCAACAGCGCCGACCTGCACTCGCAGGCAACTCAAAGCCAGATCCTCAGCCTCCTCCTTTCGCCGATCAAGACCTACATCTCTCTCTTTACCGCACTCGCATTACCCAATTTCATCCCTCTGCTACATTCACAACCATACCCGACTCGGAGAGCCGTGGCCGGCGAAGTCGCAAGAAGTCTGATGCGGAATCAGACCTACATCGCATCCGTGGAGAATCTCGAGAGTGTGCTGGAGATCTTGAAGGTTCTCATTCGGGAAGGCATCCAGCAGGCGCAGGGATACCCAGGAGGACCGATTCAAAGACGGGCACAGGAGACGGAAGAGACGATAGAAGAGCAGGGATGGCTCGCGCGGATAGTACACCTTATTCGCGGCAAGGACAACGATATTCAATTCAAGGTGAGTTCAATTAACATGCAGACTATAGTACGTACTAATAACTCCTATAGCTCCTTCAAGCCGCACGCAAGTCCTTCGCCGAAGGCAACGAGCGCGTCAAGTACACATCGCCCGCCATCATCACAGCATCACTCAAGCTCGCACGGCAGTACAAGAAGCGCGAACACTTCGAAGACAACTGGCAATCACAATCATCCGCTCTCTACAAGTTCATGCACAGCACACTGTCGACACTCTACACCCGCGTTACTGGCTCCGCAGACCTATCCCTCCGCCTCTTCATCGCCTGTGGTCAAGTCGCAGATCAGAACGGTTTCGAAGAGGTCGCGTACGAGTTCTTCGCACAGGCATTTACAATATACGAGGAGGCAATCAGCGACTCAAGAGCCCAATTCCAAGCTGTATGCGTCATCGCGAGTGGTCTACACACAACGAGAAATTTCGGCAAGGAGAATTACGATACCCTAATTACGAAGTGCGCGTTACATGGAAGCAAACTGCTCAAGAAGCCGGATCAGTGTCGCGCAGTATACCTCGCAAGTCACCTGTGGTGGGCGACTGAGATTAGGGCATTGGGTGAGGAGGACCCCAAGAACGTGAGTAGATCCAATCCGACTTTCAAGAAACCAGTACTGACTGCTACAGCTCTACCGCGATGGCAAGCGAGTGCTTGAGTGCTTACAGCGTGCTCTCCGTGTAGCTGACGCATGCATGGATGCCGCGGTCTCAGTCGAGCTCTTCGTTGAGATTTTGAACAGATACGTCTACTACTTCGACCAAGAAAACGATGCTGTAAGTTGCCATCTTGCAAACTCCGAAGCTTTTCTAACGATTACTAGGTCACGACGAAATACCTCAACGGTCTCATCGAGCTCATTCACTCCAACCTACAATCCAACGAAAACGCCTCTTCGCTCGAGAACCCAAGGAAACACTTCCAGCGCACCCTGGATTACATAGCGAGTCGAGAATACGAGGGTGTGGTTACAGCGGCAAAATAATGTTAGTGGGAAACGGAGATGCGGCGTCTGTTTTGAGTTGGAAGTCCTTGTACGACTAGATGGACATGGATATCGCACGCTCGTATACCAAGTACATAGTTTGGGAAAATGGAGAATGCTAATGAAGCCAAATATGTTGTAACATTGCACGCATGTGCCAAGCGTCTTCATATTCACTTGCAAGCAATATGGTGATGATCACCATCGGGACTATACGCAGCATCTGCCAATGCGCTAGGATGTATTCAAACTATCTCTACGCCTTTCTACTCTGTCACCCTGGGAACTCGGTCTTTTCTCCAAAAATCACCAGAATCCACACAATGGAGTTGCTCGGTGCCATCATTGCCTCAAAACACAACCAACCAATTCTATGGCTTTTTCTGATCCGCCCAACGTTACTCTTGTATGATCAGCAACTACCCTAGAAGAGGAAAAATTGTCTTTGTTTCTTCTCTCCAAAAACCGCGACTACCATTCATGTTGGTCGCTATCGTGTTTTTTACATGAGGTACTATTCTGAAACGAGTTTCGAACAATCGGATGTTGGTGGTTGTGGTCGCGATTGCTGTATGCATTGATTGAAGCCGTGATTAAAAAAACGAAAGCAACCATGGACATGAGTTTGGACTTCTGGTGGACTGACTTTACCAGGAAACAGTCTTATAGTAATTGATGGACTGCTAGGAGGTTTAGCTGGAGTACGAAAGATGTCATCCCCGCTTTCATGGCTGGGAAGTCTTCTATACTTTACCATTTCATCTTCATCCCCAAAAACTACTCGATGACGACGTATGCGTTTCGCCGGTATTCCTCCAAATTACATCGAAGAGAATGACATGGATTTCCTTCTTCGTGTGGACTTCAGCCCCTGTCTCTCAACTGGTATCCAAGTGGATTGATGGTGTGCCTTCAGGCTTTCTCAAAACTGTTAACAACGGCCTACATGGGCCTTTCTGTGGCTCTTCATTATTTCAGAAGCTTCTACAAAAGAAAACTGCTTAAGTTGCAACAAAAGCCAAGGGTTGAACTCTGATGTGACATTTGAACCCAACTGTGGCAGACAATGAGAACAAAAAGCATACATGTTGATATGATGATCAGGTGGGAGGAAAGGCTATCGAGACCTGTATCCAATATGAGAAGCGAGGAAAACGAAGGACCTGTCGCTATAGTGCTGTGGGGCGCATCGAGAAATGTATAGGTTCGGATCTGGCTTTCTGGTTCTTTCTCCTCGCATCAATTCAGCCCTTATTCTTCTCAAAAAAAAAAAGATACACCAAAGCTATGGGAATGTGTCTAGTCTCTCTATTCAAATCAAGCGTGAAACCTTACGATGTAGTTCATCGATCTCATTATCGGGGTGTGATGGAACTCAATTACGGTGGAATGTTGATGCAGAGCAGGGCCACCAAACGCGGTCAGGTAAATCTATATAGTGATCATGATGGAACTCAACCTGCTACACATATTCATTCTAAAGCTTATATGAAGCTGAGGTGTCCTTCTACAGAGCTCGAAACCTTAGGCCATGGTCATATCAGGCAGCGCTCCCTTGTAAAACTCGCTACGGCCTTCAAAGTCGAAATCCAAACCCACACATCCAAATTCCACCATCTTCTTGTCGAAGTTCTGGTAAGTATACTCAATGAACATGTCGATACCTGCATTGAAGTCAGCACAAATACACCTCAATCCACAATCCAACTGCAGCAAGAAAGAGAACTCACCACACCCGGCACCGCCAGCGGTCCAAATCTCCGCGCCATCAAACCAACCCTCATCAACAACCCACCTACGATCGACCCACTCCGTCCCAGGAAACATCTTCTGCGCCATGCCCAACATGACCCTATTCGTCGTAGCCTTCTTCCCTTCCAACACCCCACTTCTCGCCAACCACATACCCCCCGTGCACGTGGTAAGAATGACCTTCGTCTGCTTGCTCGCCTCTTTCAGGAACACCAGACTCTCTTCGTGGACAGTCGCAGGGTTCGGGCCGCCGAGGAGCAGTATATCGAGGTCACGCGGAGCGGTTGCGTAGGTGTGCGTGGGTCGCACGTACATGTCTGGTGTTACATGGGCAGGGTCCATGGTGGAGGATATGTAGAGGAAGGTCATAGGAATGGCGTGGGGTGCCATGGACGCGAACTGTGGGTTCATGGCTATGATCAGGTTGATGGTTTGGGGTGTGAGGTTGCCGAGGAGGTCGAGGCCGGCGAGGTCTGTCATTTGCGTTCCTTCGTATAGAACGCCGACACGGATAGGAGTTTGGGTAGAGGACATTGTTGCTGAACTGTGAAGGTTGAGATAGAACTGAAACTGTGATGCTGGTTGGTGGTACGGAAAGTTGCTCACTGCCTTCAACTACTTTATACATATCTACTCACTTCGGAATTTGAACGCATCGGATGAACTCTCAATTTCCGGTCCGCTGCAGCTTCCTACATGATATTGCATACGTACGATACTCAAAATGTCTGCGGACTGTATTTAGCGTCACGAACGAATGGTGGTTGCAAGAATGTTGCTGCCTGAAATATCGGGTGGAGACAAAGAACCGGAGCGGATATGTGTGATGCGCCGTGCCGTTAGGCGACCAGCATGATAAATTCAATTTAATAGCACTAGACGCCTAAGATCATTGTATAGGAAATACTCAGGATTGAGTTGTAAGTATGTACAATAAGGGAAGCGTCCAGAGAGTGGGACGATATGTGGACCAATATGCGCGTAGCGTACCATATGTACGAGATGCTGCAGACGCCGGTCAAAACAAGAATGTATGATGGTCAAGCCATTAGAGATTAAGGAAAGTCGTGAGTTCGTGGGTATTGCTCAAAGAGACGAACCCTATCTGTGCGGTGCCTCTGAGCTGAAGCGACGGAATTCCTCCCTCGCGAGTTCTTTCTCTCGCACTTCGGAGCTTGTTGCGCTGCTATTATCATTACTGTACTTTGAACTTGTCTGTCGAGTAAGATCGCAAGAAGCGGGAGTCTTAGGTTCGTCCGATCCCGCGACTGAGGTGGCGCGTGTTCGCTGGAGTGATGCGTCTCGGATGCGAGTGGAATCGCCACTCATGTGGTTCAACAAGGAGATAATTTCGAGACTAGGAGTTCTTGTCGGTCCAGTTCGGTGAGCTGGTCTTGATGACTCGGAGGGCTTCTGGATCGGGAGTTCGGGGATCTCTTCGATAGCAGGGGTTCTTGCACCCTGAGAATTGGCGCTGTTTGCGCGGCTGCGGATGACCTCTGTCTGCGGGAAACTAACGCGCTTCCTGGTCTTTCGGGATGGCGAGACACTTCCACTTTTAGACGGCATAGTAGGAGTGTAAACCGGTACTGACGTTTTGCGATGAGATCTCGGAGGTGGGGTCGAAGGGTTGGCTCTACGTCTGTCACTGTTTGATTCCAGCCTGGCCAATGCGTCGGTAACCGCATCGCCTACATCAAACTCATTCAATTGGTGATGTTCAAGCTCGTATGTCTGTTGTTGCGGGGTGCCCCGACGCGATGGCGGATTTGTATGCTCCAGAACAGAACTTGCACCCGGCGGTGGCGTGGAAGCTGGCAATGGCCATTCAGCAGGCAGTTCTGGAACTGGCGGCACATTGATATCAGGGCGCGAAGCCTTATCGTTTAGTGTTGTCTTAGATGAGGCTGCGAAAGAAATGGTAGTGTGGCGGCTTCTCGATGAGTCGCCCGAGAGACGCTTGACCTTCCAGCTACCTGTGTTGTCTACTTCTAGAGTCGAATGAGGGTATTGTAGTGAATCAGCCAGTGTCTGGGTGTCTTCGAACACGGAAGACTGGTATCTGTGTAGCGTTTGACTTGAGTCGTTGGGGTGGGCCATCGGGTGAGCCAGAGTGGGCGGGGGTACGGTAAGATTCTTCTCGTTCTCGTCGTGCAAGTCAACGCGGCTCCTGGAGTAGTCACCTGACTTCCTGGCCCCATTTGGCACGTAGAAACGTAGGTCGACGCGAACCACTGCAAACATGATGATGACGAGGATCTCAGTGACAAAATTGAAGCAGTAGAAGCTTCCCTTGGTCAGGTACCACGGCAGCTTGATGACGTCGCGCTGTACATCAATCAATGGGGTTCCTGGAATCCAGGCCAGAACGCAGCGGAAGATCTGCCCGATGGAGAGAACAGACACCGAGATGAGGAGGATGATGATGTTGTACCTCAGTCGACCAGCGCCAAACTTCTCGACTTCTGTCCTAGGAACGAGGAGCGAGATGCCTACTAGGATAGCTGGCGCAAAGCAGAATATCGTAAAATATGTCTGAGCGAGGACGAATAGGTCGTGGAAAGCAGTAAGCTTGCTTTGGTCGCGTGTGAAGAACTGCCAGATCTGGCTTATGATGAGCATAAGTAGAGTGGCTACCAACAGAACCAGTCCGCCTCGGTGAAAAATGCGGTACGGCGTTGACCATCCTAGGCGCGCATGCTGGGAGCGGACAATGCGTTGGACAAAGAACCAGTTCACTCCGTACAAGATGATGGTACCGATGTAGACGAAGATATTGGCCACGATGGCGAGTCCGATGTTCCTGGGATAGTTGGCCCACGCTATCCGCAAGGACATGGTGATGATTCTAATCTTACAGAGACCTGCAATGTGTTAGCCGTGCGCATACTAGTCAATGGGAGTGAAAGAACTTACCGAGTATAGCGCCATTGAAGATGAACTTGTGCCCGCGATGCTTGTTACCCTTAAAGATCTTGATGTGGATGACGCCAAAGATCAGGTAGAGTATGAGAAAGACGATGGCGAGAGGTACGTCAGGCACAATGGCAGGGGTTCCACCCAGGCCGGCATTGAGAGGCGCATATGGAGGGCCTCGACTGGCTTGCCCAGAAGCTCCAGACTGACCATGGTTAGTTGCGCGTAGGAGGAGGCTGGAATTGACATCACTCACTGGAGGTCCTTGGGTTCCTTGCTGCGACATCTTTGCCCGTTTGATGTTGGACGTATGAAACGTTTGCTGCAGAGGAGGTTGGAGAGAACCAAAAAGCTCTACCTGGGAGGCGGGAACGAGGTGGTGTATATCAGGTTCTACTGCCACGCGACTGATGCAGTCTAAACGGTAGTATGCATCGCTTAGAGCAGAGCAGCGGCTGACCCAGATAAGCAAACTAGATGACGACTATGCAATAACCATACCATGTTCAATCCAATTGGATGGACGGTCGTTCCATACGACGTGCCCGGCCTATCCGCAGCCGTGCCTAGACGTGGCAGCACAAGGCCTCACTGGATTGGGGCTACCGGCTTCTGCGGTGAGTGGATACCTACCGCACCCGTGGTACGCGAGCGATCTTTCCGCAGATCTAACGTTTGCTATTCTCAACGCATAGTATGCTTTTTCTCATTCAGTCTCCTTTCTGCGGTGTATAGATGTTCTTGCATCTTGAAGAATGTACGACATGTTTTCCATGACCAAGAACACTGCTTACATTGCGCCGCAGTCAACTGTGCCTCAATAAGGTGCCTTCATGTTGACGTTATCGACGGCTGACGGTAGTACCGGGTCTCCTCAGTGATGCCGGAGATCAGCAGAACGCAGTTCCTGAGTGGATGGTCGGCGAAAACGTCAAACGAGCTCCGACCCAGATGAACCCAAACCGGGACAGGGCACTGACTTGGGCACGGTGCTAAATGATGCGTCCATCGGGGGGTTTTGCAGAACAAAGGCCGACCTGCTTTTGTCCCGAAATAGACGTCGCATGTGAAAGCCTAGAGGAGGCTGAGAGATAAGGTGTCGCACTTGCATAAAGGAGCGAATTGGGCGTGTGTCAAGCTAGGGAAAAGGAGCAGTTGAGGTTGAGAATGGATATCTTGAGGTGTGGTGTGGTGGATGGCAGCTACCCCAGATTTTCGGAACGGTGAAACTGATCGGAATGATGCTGGAGCTCGACGTTGCGTGTGTCCAACCACAACGTTCAGCACATCGTAATTTCGGCCAATGCTTCCTCCAAACCCCGTCGTAGTTTCCGCAATTTCGTAGCCTTCGCCATGCCGCCCAAGACTAAACAACGCGCGGTCAAGCCCGCCGGCACAAAGTCCAAGAAAGCCATCCCGCAGCCCTTCACCGCAGCCCCGGCTGAACTCGAGACGCTCCTGTCCACCTTCGACCGCTCGCTCGTATACATAGCACATGTCGATGTGCATCCAGCCTGGTTCAAGCGGCGTATATTCGGCGTCCCCGTCCTCCTCAACACGGCCATAACCGCGCTCGTACTATGGCGCCTGTACGTCATCGGGCCTCACTACTGGGCCATTCTCATGTCCGTCATGGGAAACCACAATGAGACTACCATATACTGGGCAGGCACATCCTGGGCAAATTTGCTATGGAGGGTAGGAAAGCGCATGGCCATGTTCATGCTGGACTTCCTACTCTTCCGGTTCGTGGCGCTATGGCCGTTCACTTTCTTCATTGAGCAGCCAGGCAACCCAGTAAGCTGGCGGTGGAACGTGGGCTTCAGGGATGAGGAGGTATACGTGAGGGTCAGCAGAGGATGGGGAGCTAAAGACCTGCTTGGGGAGGCTGAAGGTGGAAGTGGGCGTGCAGGCGCGGATAATCCCTTCTTCAAGACCAGAGTTCTGCCCGCGGTTGACAAGACGAGGTTGAGGGAGAAGACGGGATATCTGTTGATGGATTCAGACTTCGACCTGGACTTCTTTGGCATGGTTGCTGCCACGCAACTGCTCGATCGCAAGGACATCACACTCGACCACCTCCGCAAATGCGTCTTCGTCTACGTCGGCGACCCTGAAGCAGAGAACGGACAATGGGCTGTCTGGGAATGCGCAAAGCTCGATGAAGGCTCGGAAACCGAAGCGAGGGACAAGGTCATACAGTTCAAGGACCGGCTCACAGCCATGGGCAAGGAGAGCTTGTTCTTCAGATGGGTCGAGCTCATCCAGTACGAAAGCAACGCACCGGGTGGCTTCACGCAAGAGCGACAGATAGCTGCCGCCGAGAAGGTGAAGAAGATGTTCGAGGACGAAGGAGTGGACTTTGAGGTATTTGAAAAGGAGATTGGGGGTATGGATGGGTTGGCAGGTGCATAGGCTGGACCTAACGTCGAGTTTCAGGATAGACAAAAAGGAAGCATGATTGGGGTTCGTGAACGTGTTGATAAGATACCCAATTTTGTACATTTCGAAGATTTACATCTACTCGTAAAGTCATGCCTACGTAGCATAAAAGGTTATACATAATTTGTCTCGGACTCTCCGCTCAACTTCAGCCTCTACTCCTCAGCATCTTGCCCAATGATCCGCCTAGTATCTTGGCCTCCTTGCTTCTCGATCTTGGTGTTGGACTCGCATGCCTCGACTCCCGTGTCTTAGACTCTATGGGAGAGGTTTCCCTGCGCCTCCGTACGGCAGTGCCCTTAGCCTCTGCGCTGCTGGAAGAGTTGAGCGTGTCGCTGCGTTTCCGAAGACGGCGGGTAGGACTCGAAGAGGAGGTGGTTTGCGGGTGTGAGTGGGACTGAGAAATAGCATGTGGAGATACGGATGTAGATGTCGTTCTGCGTCTGCGCTTCTCCTCGGTATGTTTGGACTCTGGTATCCGCGCCGCTGCAGGGCTAGGAGTGCGTGTCCGTTCTTGTTCCCGTTGTTGATGTTCTTGTGTTTGTCTTTCCTGCTCGGCAATCACACTTCTCCTCTCCATGTCTTCCAATTCATCGATGGATACCTGCACCACCTTCTTCACTGGTGCAACCTCTTCTCGACGTCTTCTCACAGGCACGTCACTCCTCGACGCAGCATACGCGTCTAGAAGTTTCTCAACCTCTTTGCGATTCGCATCTGTGCTGGCTAGACGGACAACTTCCAAGACGAGGAGGAAAGCGATAATGTAGCCGACGAAGAAGCCGGTCCTGGCCCAGAACTCTGGATTGATCAGGAACGAGAAGAGTTTAATTGTGGCGAGAAACATTTTGGCGTTTTGAGAACTGATCTTGCGTTGAACGTGGGAACGACCGAAGGATCGTAGTGTAGGCGCAAGCCAGATAGTGAGGTCGAACAGAAACGAGGGGCGGCGACAAAGAATGAGTGATAGTAAGCCTTCCGACCCCAAATTACGGCGTAAATACGGCGTCGTCGTCAACAAGAAGAGAATGTACTGTGTGCGGCCCGCGCTCGAAAGATAAAAATGTTGTTACACCGCACCGTCCGCAAGTTGCTAGACCTGCTTCACGTTGCTTTTACCTCCCTCGCGCAGCAGCGAGCCCCTCCACCTTTTAACGTCCTGTCAAGCCCCCACAGAGGGCGGCATACTGAGACACTTCGAGCCCACAAGGTACGCGTCCCAGGTGTTCCGCCCCTAAACCTTGCGAACGACACCCCAGAACCGGGAAACTATTAATGGTTGGAGGATTGGATGGGCGGCGCTTGAAACCAATCAGCATGTTTCAGCTGGGGTGATGCAAGGGTGTCTGAGTTAGCAGGTGTTTGAAGTCCGCAACACCATGCCGGATGCAGATGTGAACTTGTCTAGAAGCGAGGAGCGCGCGCCAATGGGCTGGGGTAGCGGCGCGATTGTGTATCAGTACCCAGGCGACGGTTCGCGTTGGTCGCTCGTCATCGGAGTCTGGCCGAGCAATCTGCAAATGGTGGCTTGCGTAGGTTTTGAGTTGAGGGGCAGGCAGAGTTTGGAGAGTGCTCAGGTGGAAGCCCATACGTCACGTGCTGCGAGGACGCGTCGCTGCTCGCGGGGCAACAAGCTGCTAGCCTTTCGACATCACTGATACATCCAACAACAGCCGCATTGCGTATCGCATAACGAGCACTATGGTATATCGCATTCGCGAAATGCGATACTCTGCTGTCTGGCGACCACCCCAGAATATATTCCTCGTTGTTCCTTGTCGACGCTGCCCAGGTGTTCACTCATGCCCTGACCTATGTCGATTAATCGTCGATTACATGACGGCATACTTCTATTACACAGCGTCAGTAGGTACAAGATCAGGTAGTACTTCTACTCCCATGTAACGGCAGTATCAACCATGTGAGACGCGTTGCTGGATGGTTTATCAAGTATCGACGCTCAACAGCGAGAACAGCTTTCAAAGAAGGGAGTAATCCTGTCGTTTAGAGTGATGTGCTAGGCAAAGGCCTCGACTACGCGCGCTATACTGGCGTAGACAAGGTAAGTAGGACTACCACCAGGTCGCTGTTGAGTAAACACTGGGCTCCACCTTTCACGTTGAGTTTGAAGCTGAGAGACCCCGCCTGCGCGCTCGAAGATACAAGTACAGGCTTGATCATTACGGCTGAAGCCAAAGCGTGTGAAGAAAGGCTACGCCGGGAATTGGAGAAGGAAGAGGAAGAAGCCGGAGAACTGCAGGCCAAGCTTGAACAGAATAGACAACGAGCTACTCGAGGCTGATGCGAGATAGGTGGAACTACCCAAAAAGATGCGAAGCAGATGTCTTGATCCTTCATTCCGTCTCGATCACAAAAGCATCTTAAAGCCGAAGTTGAGGTATGCGACAAATTTCTTCTTATGCAATGATCAAGGATCAGTCGATAAACCGACATGACCCTTGCTACTCACACGCGATATCCAAGACACTATCATAATAATACAATCGTGGCGTATCCAACTCCTGTTTCAAACATGCGGCCCTAATAGACAAGACGCCTTCGCTGAATCAATGTGACAAAAGGAAAGTAATGAATGACCGTGACAAAAGCAATTCCTTGCCGTCACCTGCCCCCGGGCAAAATCTCGTCTTCAAACATGCTGTGGTCCCAGCCCTTCTCCTCCATAAGTTTGGCCGCCTCATCGCTAATCCAGTGGCTTTCCCTCATGGTGCTCCCAGCTTTGATAGTCTGGCTGGCACTGTAATTAACGGCCTGCGCCTCTTCGAAACCAAAGAATAAACTCCACATGGTGGCGGCAATCCAAGAAAAGAAGGACGATATTGGTACCCACCAGCCTTGAACAAAGGTCCGGTAGATGAGTGTGGGTATGACAAAGGGGAACTTGGGAGCCTTCATGTTGACGCTGAATGGATGGGGCGACGAGTAAGCATACATCGGCTGGCAGTACATCTCGCTGTGAGACTAGTCAGTGACGTTCCTGTACGCGAAACGGCAGAATAGATGCAACATACCAAGCAATCTCTTCACTTATCCACCAAGTGAAAAGGACTATCAAGAAGATACTCAAGCCTGTGAGGCCGCCCCACGCTCTCCCCCAACTGTTCGATGTCCGCCGCAGGGTCTTCAATCGTTGCTGCCAGAACAGACTTTTCCACCATCTCAACATGGAAAAGTGCTGGACATGGTCGTCTACCGCGCAAGGGCATGCACGACTCACGACTTTGACTTTTTCGCCATTCTCGCCCTCTTCTACGTGCTCGACTTGGTCTTCGACGCGCTTCATGCCGCGGCTTGCATCGCGAATGCTGGTCCGCGCTGCGCGAAGGCGGTCGTTCATGCGGTGGAGATGTAACAGCTCTTGCTGTCGCTGGCGCTCTGCCTCATTCCGAGGAGTCTCAGTCGGTAGCTGAAGGCCTTGAAGAGTGTCTTCGTCTATTTGGCTTTCACCTGACGGAGCGATGAGATCTTCGAGTGAGTTGATGGTCGAATCGCCGAAGTCGGCTGATGGCCGTCTGCCTTGAGATTTGGCTTCGTCTACGAGAGCCTGCAATGCAGACTTTGGAAGTTGAGGGCGAACAGGCTCTACGGGCATGGCTTCGGATGGCTCTTCGGCCTTCTCAGACGGTCTTTGCTTGCGCGGACTGCCTTTCTTGGGCGAAAGTGAACGCGATCTTGACGCCACGGCAGGTCTTTGTACTGTACGCGGGCCTGGTGTATCGACCCAAGCACCAGTCACCACTGGCGTCTTTGGGTTCAGGGCGGGTCGCTCTTTCGGCATTGGTGTAGCTTCCACCTGCTCGGTCCTTGCCGCAGCTTCCTTGGATTCAGTGTGCTCTTGCCGCACGGTCGAGGTCGCTGCTGCCGCATCAGGAACCTCGGCAGAGACAGGCGTCTCCTCCACAGAGGCGGGTTTGCTTTCAGATTGCGTAGTCTCGGTCAGCACAGTCTGCGGTGCGCTGTCGAGCGGTGCCGGGGGCGCAGATTCCGGTCTGGATGGTGCTGTCTGTCTCGGGCTTGGTGTATTGGAGACTCTCGCGAGCCGCCGCAACAGATCCTGCGAGTCTTCTCTTCGGTTCGGTATGCGTCTTGGAGGGACAGGCTGGGCCGTGGCGACTGCTTCGCGATCTACTGCAGCTATGTTCTCGGCACTCTTGTACATGGCAACTGGCGGATCTTCCATGCCGATGCCCGTGACCGGCTGCGCCTTCCCAATGGACTGCCACGAATGGGTCCGCGTGCGCAGTCTCCGCTTCGGCGAAGGAGCTGGCTGTGTCACCTGCTCTGTTATTCTCGCGCTGCTATCTACAGTGTCTACCGTCCGTATAGAAGACGTCCGCGGGCGCGATTGTTCGGGCGACCCTTGGCGCATTCTCTCCAGCCGGGCAGTGGCTGCCTGCTCCTTTACACTCTCCATCTCCCTCTGCCGTATATCGTCTAGCACAGTGTTGCGTGGTATGTAAGGCGTGGATGCTATCATAGAGGCTTCGTTGAGCTCGAACGTAAGGTCCCACTCTTGCGACTGGTCGTTGCGTGGTGTACCCTTGTGCGAGAGCGGGCTGTCTTCGACTGAGCGACGCGGCACGTTTGCATGTGCTTCATCGTAGTGGTCGTGTATTGTGTCATCGGCCGGCGCGGGTGTCTGCTGCTGCTCTTCCTCGTACGTGATGGTGCGCATCCAGTTCCGGTTGCTCCTGCTCTTCCTCCCCCATGTAGCTGGCGCATGTATCGCCGGGTCGCTCCTCGCGCTCCCGGTGCTGCTGGGCGGGCTCTCGAATTTGACATGGCCATCCGCCCCAGCTACCGCGTTGTTTCTCTCCAGGTTGTCCAGAGTCAGCCCGACGCGTGGGTGCGTGCGTGCCTTCCGGAAAGCCTGCGGTCTGCTGACCAGCGCCTGGTTCAGCCGCCGCTCGTCGCGCGCATTCTGAATCATGCGCTTCTCGAATTCGTCCTCG